ACCCATATTTCTCCTAATTACAATGATGATATATCATATAATTAATATAAAAATAAAATGTGTGATATATAGTATGTTAAAATTAATACGATTTTTTTTAAAATTTAAGCCTTTAACATACCAAATACTTATTTTGCTCCAAAGAATGTGATTAGTAAAATTTCTACTTTTAAATGTTAATTTTTTTAAAAGCTGTTTTGCAAATGTTCCATGCACATTTAAAAAGTCATATTTTTCATTGGGGTATACATTGGGGTATATAATTTATTTGTAAAACCTAAAACTTGTGATTATATTATTTTGAATGTCTCTATTTTTTTAAAAGTTGTTTTATGCCTGTCAAATTCTGGGCAATAGAACCCTAACATCTCCTACTCTGAATTATTTTGTTTGTCTTGTATTTCTATCAGTTTGTAATCTGTGTTTTTGACCCTATTGTTTTTGCACCTTCACAGTGAAAACTTTGTTTTAATCAGCACACAGTAGCTTGCTGGTTTAGAGCCAGGGGCTGTAATGCTAGACAGCCGGAATTAAAATCTAGTCACATTGGTTTCTCTCTGGAAGGTCTCTAGCTTGTTTTTTTGCTCTTGAAGTTTTTTTTTTTTTTTTAATATTGATTAAAAAATATATTTTATTGATTTTTAACAGAGAGAAAGGGAGTGAGATAGAGAGCTAGAAATGTCGATGAGAGAGAAACGTTGACCAGCTGCCTCTTACACACCCCCTACCGGGGATGTGCTTGCAACCAAGGTACATGCCCTTGACCGGAATCAAACCTGGAACCTTTCAATCTTCAGGCTGGCGCTCTATCCACTGAACCAAACCGGTTTCGGCAACTCTCGAAGTTTTTCATCTGTAGAAAGGGCTATGATCACGTCTACTTCCTGGGACTGCTGGGAGGTGTCAGGGAGTTAAATGGGTGACACACAGAAAGTGCTCTGTAAATATCAGCTATTCTTTGCATTAATGGTTCTGTTTATATGTCTGTAAGATGTCTGAAGGCTAGCCAAATGATTTTGCTATAGGCAGGCCACATTGAGTTTTTCTGGTAACCAAGACTAAACTTGTATCGTGTGCCTGCATGTGGCTAATAATGGATCAAGTTCTTATATAATAGAATATATTTGTCTCATGGTTGGTGATGAGCCCTTAGGGCCCTATGCCAGTTTAACACTTTCAGGAGTGTTGGGATCTCTGTCTCTTGGTGGTTTGGGGGATGGTGGTGGCAGTGGTGGAATTGAGGAGCAGGTAGTTGAGAGATGTAAGAAGGCCCTTTCCTCTTATTTCATTTTCTCTTTTACATTTAGATGAAATGATTTAGCTCTTTGTCTGGAGCAGCCTGTCTAGCAAAAGTTCCTCTTCAAAGGATTTATTTCACTGCATTTTTTCTCTTTGTAATTCTTTTGTAATTTGGTTATAATTTGTCAGTTTTAATGCGCTTCTTCCTTGAACCCTCCCTCCCCCCAGATCCTTTCCCTTTGTATTTCTGCTCCTGCTGGAGTATGGCCTATGTCGGTGGGTGTGCTCCTAGCTCCCACCCATTCCTCTTTGCTCCCCAAGTGAAAAGTATGTTTTCAACTTTTAGGTCCTAAAGTTGAACCTCATGAAACTGTATCAGGCAGATACAGATGTTGGGAGTGGGGGGTGGGGAGGGGTTGGGAAGATGAAAAGGCTACAGGTGTAGATAATGTTCAGACTTGGAAAGCAGAAGTAGGTAATGGCTGTTCTGTGTGCATGTGTGGAAGTAAGTAAGAGCATGCCCAAGTGAGTGTGAACGTGTGTGTCTACAGTGTGAATGTGTGTCTACAGTGTGAATGCATGAGTTAGTTCAAGAGGGATGTTATGAATGTGAGCACGTCTGAGCATGAGCATATCTGAATGCATGTATGCAAGTGTGAGTATCGGTATGAGTACATATGTGTGTACATGCAGGTGTGTCTATGAGTGCGCTTGTATGTTCTTTCCAGAGCGATGGGGTTTCTCTGAAGGATGGTAGTGGGCAATGTTGTCATCAGCCCTTCCAAGGAAGGGGCTTGTCATTTGCCATGGCTCCCAGGTTTGGAAATGGGCGAGGTGCCACCAGGAAGCTGTCCTGATGAGAAATAAGATGGCTCCCTTCCTGGGTTGGATTTCGCTCCTCATCCTCTCTCCAGCACATTCTTTGGTGTGTTAACATAGCAAACAAAACAGGCTCTTTGTATATAATTAAGCCCACCGACACATCAGTCAGGTTACATGCTAGAGCTCAGCGCTAATTTAAAAAGAACACACTATTCATTTCTCCAAAAGGAAAGCCTTTGAAGAATGTCTCAGGATTTGATCTGGCAATTTCACTGGGTGTAATGAAACCTAATCTAGAAACATGGTTTACTTCCCCAAGTAGCGTGAAAGCTGTGACTTGCAGATATAGCCGCAAGCTCCAAACAGCAGTGCCTGGCACAGCCATGACCCTGCAGGAAACCGAATGTAATTTCTTTCCTCTCGGGGGATCTGAGCAACAGAAATTGCCCTTCTAAATGCCTCATGGACAGCTCTTACCTGTTTATGACACAAGCTAACTTGTTTTTCAAAGGCCATCTTGAAAGAACCTCTGTTTAGTTTCAGTTTTTTTTTTAAGCAGTCTCCCACTGCCCCCTCCAAATATGATAGTTTTTAAACGTCTTTATTGGTCTTAAAATATTAGTCTTCCTTTGTGCCCATGATTCAAGCCTGCTCATTTGCATTTAAACTATTTTAGGAAGTAGTGGAAATAACGATTTCCCCCCCACATCTGAGGCAGGAGGTTAGAATTAAGATGCCAGTTGGAAATAGGTAATGTGAAAAATCATTAGCACGGCTCCAGATCCTGCATAATGTGACATCCACTGGTTATTCTGTCATCGTTATTGGAAAAATACCAGCAGCACGCAATTCATTTCTTTGTACCAGCTTCTGAACGATGTCCTTTGCAAATACATAGTTAGTCAGTGGTTCAGCGGGATGCCTTGGGGCAGCTGCCTGTAGGAGAGAGGTTGATGGAAGCAGTAGGGAGAAGGATATTAAGCCTTTCCTCCCTCCCAGTCAACAGGCTACGCCTTTCCCTTGAAGCCTGTTCAGGGACCCCTTCCCTTGCTCCCTGATGTGTAAAGGTGGGGTGTTGGTCAGTGGAGGGAGGCCGTAAGCTCTGTGGGGTGGGGGTGGGGACACGCAATGAGGATCGCAGCTGTGAGGGCCCCGACTTGCCAGGAGCAGTGACATCAAATATAGGTCAGGCCGAAGACATTTACTCCTAAAGAGGAGGCAGGGCCGGCACTTACATCATTTGGCCATTGGCAACTCATACAGCCCCACTTCACTTCTCGAAGGAATTTGGTTTTCGTTCCATGTAAAGGAGTGGGAGCACATGTTAAAGTGGGAGGACCCGGAAATAGAAAGTTAAAGAGATTTTCGGTGAATCTGTGAGGCTCGCTGTTGTAACAGACTTTGATCTCAGGTCCTGATGAAGGAAAAGGTTCTTATTCGTGTAGCCCTCTGAAGGAGGTGCTCCTCAGCAGGTGGCTCTTCCAGGGGGTGACCTGGGGACCCAGCCGCCTCCCCTCTTGTGTCTTTGTCATACCCATGGTGGGGGTCTCAAGTTGCCCTGTAGGTCATCTCCATTCCAATGTGCGAGTGAGAAAGTGTGTGGTAGAGAGGGTGAGAATGTGTACGTGTCTGGGTGTTATGGGCCAGGCCTGCGTTACCTCTGTTAAAGCTCAATCGGATGGCCACATCCTAAGCTGGGAATACAGGATGGCACAGAAATAGGTTTACCGTTTTAAGTACTCAAAACACAGAGTTTATTCTTGTATTATTGATAAATTATTATTATTTTTAAAAATATATTTTATTGATTTTTGCAGAGAGGAAGGGAAAGGGATAGAGAGTTAGAAATATTGACGAAAGAGAAACATTGATCAGCTGCCTCCTGCACACTCCCTACTGGGGATGTGCCTGCAACCAAGGTACATGCCCTTGACCGGAATCGAACCTGGGACTCTTCAGTCCACAGGCCAATGCTCTATCCCACTGAGCCGAACCAGTTAGGGCTCGATTAATTATCGTATTTTCTATATGAACAACTGTAAACCTAGTTTTGTCCCACCCTATAGGTTTTGACTGTGTTTCCTGGAAGCCAAGGACAGGGATTTGGTGGAACCCAATGGTATTGCACTCCTTGGAGTGGAGGAAACAATCACTTCTTTGTATCAAAAATGATGTCTAGGAGAACCCATTGGCATGTTCCCTGGTGATTGTACAGCACCTCCAGCTGATGACCCCTGCAGTTGGGCGCCTCACGGTACCCATGTTGCCAGCAGGAAGCTCAGGGCCCAGCTTTGCTGCTACCAAGTGTGAAAGGGCCTCTCACAGAGGCTAGGAGAATTCCTGCTGCTCCTGTGAAGTCATGTGGAGCATGCTAACAGCCTGTGTCCCGGTGCATCTGTTGCTCTGGAGCTGTTCTGAGGTTGACTGTGGTATCCGTGGGCACCGGGCGAAGTGACGGGCATTGCACCAAATCCCGAATGGACCTAGCCCTTCCCAGTGGTGCCTGTCACAAACTCCATTCTTTTTCCTAATCTATTTTTATTGATTTCAGAGAGGAAGGTAGAGGGGGAGAGAGATAGAAACATCAATGATGAGAGAGAACATTGATCAGCTGCCTCCTGCACGCTCCCACCTGGGGATCGAGCCCGCAACCCAGGCATGTGCCCTGACCGGGAATTGAACCGTCACTTCATGGTTCATGGGTCGATGCTCAACCACTGAGCCACACCAGCCGGGCGCAAGCTCCATTCTGACTTAGGAATCGAATGCTCTTTCCTGGCTGGGGGCTAACTTTGAGGGCACCTGATGGGGACTGCTGGTTCCCAGCATCTTGGATTTGGAACCTTGGTGTCGATTTAAGGGTCCCTTTCCTCTTCCTTCTTTGCGGCGAGGAATGGGCTGGGGAGCAGAGTGTGATGCACTGTGGTTTCTCCGCGCAGGTACTTTGTGCTGGACTTCGAGGCTGGCCTCCTGCAGTATTTCGTGAATGAGCAAAGCAAGCACCTGAAGCCCCGAGGAGCCCTGTCTTTATCTGGAGCCATAGTGTCCCTGAGCGACGAAGCCCCCCACATGCTGGTCGTGTACTCTGCCAACGGGGAGATGTACAAGCTGAGAGGTACGCTCTTCTCCTGCTCACTTTCCAGACAGGCCTCGGGGCCGCAAGCCTAGTCACCATGGTGATGGCTCTCTTGCCTTCTGAGAAAAAAAAAAAAAAAAAAGAATCAACTTGAACAATTTGCTCTGTTTGATGACTTTGTGGTGACAGATGGTTGCTGCCTCTTACCCCTGAGGCAGGGAGATGGCCTGACATTAGGAATTGCTTGTCCTAATTGAGGAATTAAGGACAAGGAAAAGGTGAGTGATTGCCCAGCCAGCTGAGGCCTAGGACTTGGGGTATATTTTTCATATTAGCTCAGTATATGTTTTCTCCGACCTGATGGTGTGAATCTCCACTTTGGGCAATATGAACAAACTGAGCCTTTTAAAGGGCACTGTGCCCTCTCTGTATGAAAAGAGGCGATTATTTTATTTCATCTGTTGTGAGCGAGGTGAGAAGCCAACTGGTGCTGAGTTAATGCCCTCCAGTGTGCTTTCTCGCCTTCTTTTTGCATCTTAAAAACTGACGTGTGCTCAGCATCCTGGTCAGTGAGCATGACTAGAGTCCAGCATTGGGCCATCACTGTAGGTCCTGCCCCCACATCTCCTCCACCCCAAGGCAACACATTCACAGGTTTTCAAAAACCCCATGTTTGACTATAGCAGTGTAATTTGATTGCTAGATCATTCTCCCAGCATTCTGTTACAGTTGCATGGCCAGAAAAATGGTCAGTATTCTTCTAATGAAATAACAAAATGCAACAACAGTGAAACAGTCCAAATGTATATACATACACACAGAATCAATGTTACGTATTGAGGTCTGAGGAAAGTAGTATGTATTAAGTATCAGCAGGTAGTTGGTAATTCTGCATTCTTTTTAAAAAAATATATATATTTTATTGATTTTTTTACAGAGAGGAAGGGAGAGAGATAGAGAGTTAGAAACATCGATGAGAGAGAAACATTGATCAGCTGCCTCCTGCACACCCCCTACTGGGGATGTGCCCACAACCAAGGTACTTGCCCTTGACCGGAGTGGAACCTGGGGCCTTTAAGTCCACAGCCTAATGCTCTATCCACTGAACTAAACTGGTCTCGGCAGTAATTTTGCATTCTTATGACATATTTCTCAGCCCAAGTGAAGGCCAAGTACGAAGGAAAAGCCTCATTATTTCTCCCTGAGCCCAGGAGCCGGCCTCTGCAAAGCCGGAGTGAAGGCCTCAATTCCTGGCCTCTCCGTCCATTTCACCATTCACCTCTGAGCATTACTGCCAAGAGATGAAATAGCTACTGTTTCTTTTCATCTACAGAAATCCTATTTCAGAATCATCCTATAGAATAAACAGAGCTGTCATTGAAGAAAGTTTTTCAGTTTTTGGGCTAAGATTCATGTTCTTTTTTGAGATCCATGCGTTATGCTTCCCAGCTGACTAGATTTATATGGCCCTTGGTTTTGCTTTGCTGTTTATTGCTTAATAAATCCTTGGAGCAGAAACAGTAGTGGGGGTTGGGGCGGGGGAAGGGAAGACTTCATGTCACTTTCCCCTGCCCCCTGCCTATGGTTTATAAAATGATGCAAACCCAAAGAGAAAAATCCAACACAGTTGACAATTGAGCTATATCACTTTGCCTTTGAATTATTATTTTCTGGATTATTAAACATCGTTTTTTTTAAAGGTAGTTTTAATAGCAATTGTAGCAGTTTTATCTAAATAAAATTATTACGAAGGCTAAGTTAACTTATTATCCTTGGCAGTTCCAGAAAAGACAGGGTAAATTTCTGCATATTTATGGCTGGCTCTTGGCCCATCCCACAAGGATCTGGGTGTCTATTCTCTCGTTTCACACCTCACCTGCACAGAGAGTTGAATCTTGATGTCATTAGATGCATAGCTTTTGGGAATGCTCTCAGTGCTGAGCCTTTGGACGGTATTGCCACAAACTGGCAGTTAATTCTTCACGTTTCCTAAGGGACAAAGGCTCTGGATTTGCAAAAATCCTTTGTCTTTGAAAGTTTGGTCCACCTGATCTTACTCTGGTCTACCACTCTAGATTTCTTCACCTGCAAGTTCAACCTGAAGTTGGGTTTTATTGACAAACGATAGGCCCATTTTTATAAACTACTACTATCGTTTCTAGGGGAATATTGTTTTCTGCATAGTCAACACTTATGCAATTAATATGTTAAAATATTTATGTGCTTAATTGTTCACTTAAAGATTTAAAGTTTATTAGGACCTGTACTGCATCCATAATATTTTAAAGAAATCATCTTATGTGCTTGAGAGATGGGGGTGCAGATGGAAGGTTCTGAAGATGCAGTTGACTTGCATTTTAATGTCTCTTTGGGGGGAAACTTGAGGATCTCTAAGGCAGCATTTGGTATCTGGTTCTGTCCGATGCTCATATGAATCCTCGAGAACACATATTAAAATGGTAATTCAACCGAATGCTTATTTTGTAAATGCTAATAATGCCACAGCACAGCTCTGGTAGATAACAAAAAGGCCCCGAGAAAAGCTGTACTTTGATCCTCATATTAGCCACATGTGGCTGAGGCATTGAAAAAAATAATCTTGTTTCTCCTTCCTCGCTGCCTTTCGAAAGGAGCGGAAATGAGTTTTTCAGAGCAGGTTCAAAAAGTGGCAAGATTGTTCTTCTAATGGATATGTCAGAATACATTTTTAATGTGGCTGAAGAGGGAGTTTTCTGTTGAAGTATAGTATGATTTGATTTTTGGCGTAGGGACAGGCTAGTTGAGAATATTGAGATCTGGATTTGCTTTTCCCTCCACCCCCAGCTCCTTCGCCTGCCACCTCACCCCACCCCACCCCCTTAGGTGGGTGTAGAAATAAGTTGGATGTGTTTCTGGAACAGTCTCTGCAAGCATTTCTTTCTCTATTTTAGCTGCTGATGCAAAAGAGAAACAGCTCTGGGTGACTCAGCTGCGTGCTTGTGCCAAATACCACATGGAAACAAATTCTAAGGTAAGGAACCCCAGGGACACAAGGAGGTGGTCCAGTGACTTGGATTGGCTACTCTCCAGCCCAAGCATCTGTTTCTTTGGGGAAGCTGTTTTTCTTTTTTCTTTTTCTTTTTTAAAGTGACCCTCGATAGTGGAATTCATACTCGTCCCGCCACATTTACATTTAAAGCCAAGAGAAGAGGGGCAGGGTTTGCTTGTGGGTGGAGTGAAGAGGCATGCTGGCCCTTTATTGGAACTGCTCTGGCAAAGACACTTGAGTTGTGTTCTGTGCTGTCAATCTAGCCAGCCGTTAATTGGTCTGTTGAGGAGCTCGCGTGGACGATCGCATTGTGTGGAGGCAGAGCAGTCAGATTTTACTGTCCGTGAGCACTTGCTGTTGTCCCTGAGCCTTACAGAAAACCTGGGCCCCCACACTGATTGATCTCTCAGCCAGGAGCTTCTGCATTCTAAGTGCGTAAAAAACGTTCTCAGGTGATGTGGCATCCAGGTATGGATTATTTTCTCCTCCGGATTCGGTATGAGATCTGGGACCAGATGTGAGGGAGATAGGAGGTCGGCGTATTTATGGATTATTCAGAGGATTTCCAATCTTTAAAATACAGGAAATCATTGCAAAATGACTTTATTGAGGCCAGCAAATATTGATTTTAATGTTCAAAGGATCTCTTTTATATCATTAGTTCCAATTTAGTTACTCTGCCTAACAGCAGTCTTTTTCCATGTTCCGTGCATCAGCTGCAAAGAGCCACACTTGAAATTTCTGATGATTCCCTTTACTGTAACCTGCCTGTGTCTTGCTCAGGGCCCTGGGAAATGTCTTGCTTAGCTTAGACCTCCCTGTCCTGCCTCCAAATACAAACTCAATGATTCCCTTACAGGATTTTGCGCGCACGCGCACGCGCGCGCACTCGCGCGCGCTCTCTCTCTCTCTCTCTCTCTCTCTCTCTCTCTCTCTCTCTCTCTCTTTCTCTTTTTTTCTTTTTCTTTCTAGAGACACCTGATTTTCCTTATTACAGTTGCCCTTTTTGACTTGCCCTAAGGAGAATCTGGGTCACTGTAGAGCCTTCCCCCCACTGGCCTCTTTAATTTTCCAGGAATTATAGTAGGAGTTCTGGACATTTCATCAGTATGTTACAATATGTGGGCAGGGCGGTTACAATTTTTTATATGTATCTTTTTACTTTTTATAGAACACAATAGAAGGGGATAAAATTAAAAATGCATCTCCTCTATTGCTATATATGATCACTAGAGATAGTTGCTCTTAATTGATGTTGCATGTCATTCTAGTAAACTAAGGCAGGTGTTAGTGTGTATGTATACATATATATACATATATCCATTTCCATATCTATACCTATTTTTATACAAATGGGATAACATTATGTATGCTGTTCCTCCTCTCCTTATTAATATATTTTGGAGATTCCCTATTATACATATGAATCTGTTATACTCATTTTTTTTTTTTAAATTGATTTCAGAGAGGAAGGGAGAAAGAGAAAGAGAGAAACATCATTGATAAGAGAGAATCACTGATTGGTTGCCTCTTGCACAGCCCTTGCTGGGGATGGAACCTGCAACCTAGGCATGTGCCCTTGGCCAGGAATCAATCCTGACCTCCTGGCTCATAGATTGATGCTCAGCCACTGAGCCACCCCGGCCAGGCTGCACACATTTTGGATGTCATTGCTTTATTTTACTGATAAACACTTAAGGTTCTATTTTGTTGTTGTTATATATAATCCTATATAATAAAAGGCCAATGACCAAAACTGCATAATGACCAGAACAACCGATTGATCAGTCGCTATGAGGTGCATTGACCACCTCTCCATCCCTCCCTCAGCCTGCAGGGGAGTGGACGGAAGATGGCCCTGATAGCAGGCTAGGCCTAGGGACCCTATCCATACATGATTTCATGTGCTGGGCCTCTAGTGCTATAATAAACATCTTTGTGCATATATCTTTTTGTTTTGTTTTTTTAATATATTTTATTGATTTTGTACAGAGAGGAAAGGAGAGAGATAGAGAATTAGAAACATCGATGAGAGAGAGTCATCGATCAGCTGCCTCTTGCACACCCCCTACTAGGGATATGCCCGCAACCAAGGTACATGCCTTGACCGGAATCGAACCTGGGACCTTTCAGTTCCCAAGCTGACGCTCTATCCATTGAGCCAAACCGGTTTCAGCTGCATATATCTTTTTGTATCTCTAAGTGTATGTTTATGTGTGTGTATATATCCTACATAATAAGAGAGGGATATGCTAATTATCCATTACGCCCTGAAGCATCACTACCAACTGTGTAACAACCTGATCACAGATCTGCAGGAGGGTGGGGCAGCAAACTACAAGTGGGCAGCAGAGACCTACAGGAGGGGGCAGGGCAGCAAGCTATGGGGGAGGGGGAAAGGACAGGGGGAACTACAGGAGGGTGGGGCAGCAGGCAGAGAGCTTCAGGAGGATGGGACAGTGAGCTACAAGCAGTGGAGAGCTGGTAGCCAGCTGAGGCAAGCAGTAAGCAAGCTGCTCACGCACGGATTTGTGTGCAGACCTACTAGTATATATTTATACCAGTGGAATTGTTGGGTCATAAAAGGTGTCTTCTAAATTTTCAGACAGTGCTAACTTGTCTACTTAAAAAGTTGCTCTGATTTGCACTCCCATCAATTTTTGTGTCTCCCCCAACTATTGTGGCTTTTACTAACATTTAGTTTTTGATAGTGTCACAGGTAAAAAAATAGATGCCCCATTATTTTCATTTTCACTTCTAAAATCATGACTGGGGCTGAGTGTGTTTTCATGTTTATTGGCCACCTATATTTCTTTATTGTGAACTGCCAGTTTGTATTTTTTCACCCATGTTTTTCTATTGAGTTTATATTTTTCTTCTTGATTTGCAGTAGGTGTATGTGTATTAAGTATATTTGTCCTTTGACTCTCATTTGGACTGTAGATATTTTCTCCTAGTAGGTCATTTGCATTTCTATTTTGGATAAATATTTTTGCTATGCAGAATATTTAATTTTTTTCTGGTCAAATTTATTTTCATTTTTTGAATTTTGGTCTCATATCATGTGTAGAAAGGGGCTTCTCTGCTCAAAATTATGAAAACATTTTTTTCAGTGTTTACATTCAGTGAATTTATAGTTTAATTATCACATTAAATCAATGATTCATCTGGAATTTATTTTGAGTGTCAGAATCCAGGTAGGGGACAACCAACTTAAGTACATTGGTGTTTTGTGGTACATACCACATCCATCCTAGTGGTAGTAAGAAATAAGGGAATTTAAAGAAATAGGAGGATTTGAATATTCCCTGGAGGAGAATTTGATTTCCTGATACATTTCTCTTGGTAGTTTCAAGAATACAGTTAATCTATTAATAGTTTATAATATTTTAATGGTTAGGTCCTATAGGATTCCTTCTTTGAGAAATGGAGGCAAGGTTGCTTTCACTAGTCATTTATAGCATAGCTGCTGTGATCAGTTAGGGAATAATACTTTCAAAATTGTGAGCAGACCTTGTTATTCATGTCAGAGAGGCATTCTGAAGTCCAAGTCTTGTTTTTAATACATATTCTTAATACATAGTATCACTTTCTTAATTCCCAAATTAAATCTCATATTAAAAATCTTAATTCCTAATTAATTTCCAGATTAAAAAATCTATTGGCCTTTGAAATCTAACAGGCTGGCTACCTAGACCAGCCCCCATTGGTTTACACACGAGGAAGCTCTAACCAAGAAGGTAAGGAGCTAAGATTTGACCTCGGGTCTCCTGGTTTCCTGTTCTGATCTCACGAACGTCAGCGAGGGCATCACCTTCTTCCCTCCATGGGTGATGGGATCCTTTAGGACAGCTTCTGCTCCTGGATAGACAGAAACTGCCAAACGGCAGAGAATTGCCTTCTTTCGATGTCTCATAGGTTCACCTCGTGGGCTTTGGTGTTAACTGAGGCGTAGCTGTGAGGATGCGAGGCTGGCGTGCTACGAAGAGTAGAACACTGACTTTCTCTGAAAACACAAACAACAAGAAAACAGAACATCCTATTTTCAGTGCAGTATTAAAATGGAATCAGTGAGGAGCGATGCATTGGTCGGGGAAAGTGTTAAGAGAACTGTAAGGAACCCTCCTTATGAGAATTTACTTGTATATGACTTTGAAAGTATCAAAAAATCAAGTAGGTGGTACACGTCCTCGGATAGGGTACAGAGGTGTTCTGGGAACTGCGGTAAGCCCCGAGGATGGGAAACCATCTGTCCTGTTGACAGGTAATGATAATTAATACCTTATATGTGAGGGACTCATGATCGCATTATTTTTCACAGCGATAAGGTTGGCCCTATTATCTCCATCTTTACAAATTAGAAAACTGGGCCACTTGAACTTAAGTGATGGGCTCAAAGTCACAGCCAGAAGTACTTAAACATGTACTCCTCCCAAGTTGTTAAACATGCCTCCTCCCCCTCATCTCCCATCCTAGTTTTTTGGCAGGAGCTCGTTGGAAGGTTCTTGGTGGTACTACTGTCCCATGAACTCCATATTTAATAACTTTGAGGGCACAGGTCTATAATAGGGTACCTGTAACCTAATCAAGGGAACTCTTCTCCAATCTTTCAAATAGCTTCTGATTTGAGAATTTTCTTTAGTGAATTTGCTTGAAAGTAAATTTACCTACTTGATTTTTTGCACTAATTTTTGTGTGATGTAAGCTACAAGCATTTTCCAATCGAGTTCATTCGCCTTTTAATTCACGAAAACTCTGGTTTAGAAGAAATACTGTGGTGTGCTAAGTGAAAAGGCCTATATTGACATCCCTGCTCTGCCAATGATGTGTTGTGCATATCTGCTCAGTTCTCCTTCATTCTTTCTGACTTTGTGTCCTCATCTTTGAAGTGGTGACTTCTCTCTTCTAAAAGTTGTCACAAGCCTTGCTCGAGCAAGATAACTCAGGAGAAAGCCAGTGCTGGCATGAAGTGCTCGGAGGAG